TGAAATTCTGTTGCAAGAAGGAGCCATTTTTCTTGCTATTTTGATCAACTGAATTCAGCTGGAATCTTCAACAACATGGAGCCTTATTGGTTAGTTAGTTAATAACTGAAATGATCCCTTGTTTGTGTCTATAAAAGGGCTGCATTAGGAGTGTAAAAGGGGCAACTTGAAAATAGAGAAAGTGAAATGAGATAGAGTAGTAAAATCTTGAAAATCTGTAGAAATTCTTTATGATGATTTGAGATTGTAAATCATGTAAAGTCTTGTGGATAAATCAAGGCCAAGGAAGACATTCTTCCTGTTCCAAAATCCATTTTTCATTTTTCTTTCCAATTGATTTATTTTTCTGCTGATTATAATATGTTTTATTGGTTCTTCCTGTATCTATTTTTCTTCTCCAAACAAATTCTGCTGGTCCAACGTGCTCCTATTAATTCTGTATTAATTTTAAACTTAAAAGGAAGTCTTTCAACCCCAACATTATTCATTCTGAACTCTTTCTCTATCCGTAGATGATGGTCCAATTTTTCAATAGAAAAATCATATTTCTGATGTATAAGACTTTTCTTGTAGTCTTTTCAAGATGGAGGTAGTTTGTCAATTATTCATGAAGACAACAAAATGGACTCATCTATATTCATATTGTTCGAGAAATTGATTGACGTTTGTGTGTGATTTCATGAAATTACTCGACTACTTTCTTATTATCCATCATGTGATATTGAAAAATTTAGAAGCCTAACATTTCTTACTTGTATGTCCTCCAAACTTTATTTGGCCTCCAATGCGTCAATTTTTTTTTTAAATTGTGGCAGTCTTGGTGTGATATTGATTGCAAAATGGCATTGGGCATAACATTGCACGAGTAACCTTTGCAGATATAATCATCTTGAATCCCATTTGTGACGAGCCCTTGCATTTGCCAATATTTCATCTTTAGTTTTCTTAGGTTTTGGTGTGGTTAAAACACAAACCACATTTAATGTAGTAAGAACGAAATTAACTTGTTTTGCCAACTCGTAAAGTTTGTGTTGTCGAACCTTTCTAATTTCACGAAATTGACTGTGAAATCTCTAAGTAATGACATTATGCGCCATTGCAAATCTTCAAACACTGTCTCAAGATTATTGGTTATGAATTATCCTATAATGTCTTGAACCTCCTTTATAACACAAATACAATACTTTGCAAATTCTACGACATGTGATTGCGGTTTTCTTAAGAAACTATTTGTCTCGCACCATATATGACTGTACAAGGGAAACCCAATATATACCTTCATGATACAATATAATTCTCTTTGATGTTCATTGACTTCTATGACAGTACTAAGTCAGGTCATCACAAGTCATCATCTCGAATCATTTTGCCTTGATCATCTGAAAATGGGAAGGGATGATATGGGAAGGGATAACGCTCAATAAGCAAACCTCATACATATGATGCGTGCTTATGATATGCATATGAATTACATTAAAATAAAAAGTGTTTTTGTATTATGTATCCCATTTTTTTCATTTCTTTAAAAACTTAACACTAACATCATAAGCTCACTTGATGTATCACCTATAGTCAATCAGAATGTAGCGAGCCACGTTACTTGGAACCCAATCAAATCTACCAGTAGTACCGCAAATCGATTAACAATAACATTAACATTGAACAGTGGCACCTAAGTCTGAAATCTAATCAGTGTCAAAATCATTTAGAAACAATCATGACATATATGTTATCACGGGCATAATCTACACCAATGTTAAAATCTCCTGACACGGTTATAACATGTAGGCAATCAAGGGAATCACCTTCTGATAATCACTCTACTGCGGTCTCTATTTCTTCTTAGGGTAATTACAGTCTATCTTGAAAAGCCTTAACTTACCACATTAAAAACATTTCTTACCACTTTTATCTCTAAACTTGGACCTATCCTTCGATTTCCCTATGCCCTTTTTATTTTGAAAGTAATTTTCCCTCGTCTCATTCCTTCATCTAACAAACAAACTTTCTTCTCTCAAGCTGCCCTTCGACTCTTTCTTAAGCTCTAGCTCCCTAACCCTCAAAGAATTAGCCACAATATCTTAGGTCAAAGTATCTCTTGCATACGTGATAGCATTCCTAACATTTCTATAGGATTCGAGCATAACATTTAAAAGTATAACCGCTTGATATACATCATCAAATTTCTTATCATTGTAGGTCAAACACTTTATGAGTCTGTTAAAGTCACCCAAATTGGATTCAAGATCTTTTCCCGGGTCTAACTTAAAATTGAAAAGTTTCTGAAATAAATGAATTTTGTTTGGAAGAGATTTTTCCAAAAATAGCTTGTCAAACGCTTCCCACAACTCTTTTGTAGTCTTATGTTGTTCAATTGTCCCAACACATGATCAGATAAATGCAATATAATCAAAGTATATGCAATTTCATTCATCTCAGTAATTTCATCCGATTTAGCTTTTAATGCATCATGATATTTTTTCGGGTTGTCAAGAACTTTAGAAACTTTTTGTTGGAATAAAATAGCCTTCATTTTTTGCTTCCAAATGGAATAATCTTTCTTACCATTGAATTGCGACAATTCAACTCGAGAGACTATAGTAGCAAAATAATGTTTTTCGAAAAAATTTTACTTAACAAATTTATCTATATACAAATGTAAGCTCAAAACAATTCATATATAAATTACTTTTCAAGATGAAACGGGCGATGATATCATAACAAGTAACACATAGCCAATATCACAAGAGTCAAATAACAATGTGATAGCAAATAATAATATATCAATTGAGGGTNTCCAATTTATGTATAAATTACTTTTCAAGATGACACATACGATGATATCATAACAAGTAACACATAGACAATATCACAAGAGTCAAATAACAATGTGATAGCAAATAATAATATATCAATTGAGGGTGTTGGGACGCATAAACCGAGCGAACCAATATGTTAGTTCGTATTTTAAGGAGAGATGCGAGTCTTTATTGATCTAGGGCCCCCCTAACTACTCTAAATTATCCAACATCTGTTGTAACCCCAAGAAACACCACTGAGCCGCCAATGGAAAAACTTTCTCCACTTAACCTTTCTTCCCGAGGTTGTATATGCTTCTGCAGTGCACCAAATTGAAATCCAACAACACTAGGAGGTCAAAAATATCTCAAGGAACAAACTATCTTTTTTCACCTCCATCAAATTCCTTTTCACGTGCCTCTACGCATGACCTTTGTCTTCTGCTCGTGTCCTCACGCAGCGTCTCTATGTTCGACGCGTGTGTCTTACGCACAGTACCAGAAGCTTCTTCTTGTCATCTAGAGTCTAGTGATGGTCGCTGTTCGTCCACCAAGTGCATGGTTTTGCCCAAAAATGGGTTTAAAGATTCGAATTTACTAGTTTTCGTCCAAACTCGAACCCTTTGACTTCTAATCCAATTTTCAGGTTGTTTTAACACTTTATACCACTAGCCTAAGCGCTGATACCATTTGTAGAGTTTAAAATGTAGTAAACAAATTATTATTACTACAATGCGGAAACATAAACTGTCAAAGTATAAAACCAAACCAATAGACCCATTGGATTTAATCTATGGTATTATCTCAACCAATGCAAGGATAATAATATCATTTATCAAAACTCAATTTAAGTTATTGGTTTATCCCCACTCAATACATCTGCACATCTTTAACGTGAAAGCTTCTAATTACAGTTGATGTAAGAAATGGTGCCACGAATTGCCATCTATGGAGCATATATTAAGCCTACAATACCGTACTTAAATTTATTCTTACAACAAGAAATAACACTACATAGACATAAATCATAGATCGAACCGTCGAATTGGAAAAATTGGGTGCTATCATATAG